TAACAACAGAACTGAGCTGACAGCCCAGGTTCGCTTTAAGAAATGTCACTTCCCACAATGCAACGGCATCCTTTAGTGTTCGTTTGTAAAATTGACTTTAGCATTTTATGTCATCATTTGTCAGAAGCACACCTGGATTGTTGCGTCTCATGCATCTTTGAGAAATCATTTCTTCTCCAGGGCAACCATTCAGCTGAGCAAAGCGCCTGTGTGGACTTGGCTCCGCCTTCGAGGGCGAAGAGCCTCCTTGGAGCTGCGCTTCCCAGGCTGCACTCAGCTCCTTCAGACTAGCCAGCAGCAATTAGCAAACATCTGCTGGAGCTCAGCATCAGCTCCTTTTCACTGAAATGCTGGTAAAAGAAAAAAAAAATTTGTTAAAGGATTAAAAGAGTAGCCAGGTTGTGATGACTTCCTGAAGGTGGAGTTTCAAAAAGAGGAGGAGTTTCTTAAAGAGACATAGGCCCAATTCAAGGCGTCAAATTGTGACGTAATATTTGATATATACAGCATTCTTGTAAGAACATAGTTACTTGATCATGCCACAAAATGTCACAATATGCAATAAAAGTTGTTATGTCCTAATTTCTTTAATTAATATAATTATTAATGATTATTCATGAAAATGCCACATTGGACTCAGTATTGCAGATATTGGGACATTTTTGTTTCACCAGGTTAATGGTTCAGTCTAAAAATAATAATAATAAAAAACATAACCTAATCTAACAATTAGTCAAGTGTGCTCATCTGAACAAACCTTTTTTTCCCACCACCTTTCATCAACTCCAAATTTAGAATATTCTCAAATCGCAGCCGCAAACGGCCCTCAGGCTGCACACAGGACACCACCGGCCCAAAATAACTGGGCTTTAACGTCGGATGGTTTGTGGCATAAACACAACAGGGACTGACGTCGTCATTAATGGATGCAGAGCGGTCGGGATGCCAACAGCAGAGGGGTCCCTGCAGGCCGGCTTGGCGTTCGAGCTCCCGACTGGTCGCCCGGGGAGATGAGTCACCTTCCAGCAGCGACACTCGAGCTAAAATAACAACAGCTTTAAGACAAAAGTCTCCGGCTCCGACACTCGGGACCGAATGGACTTCCGGATGGCACTTCACATTCAATAATGTCAGCGCTTTGGGGAATCCGCCAGAGGAGCCTCAGAATCGCCTGTGTGAGATGTGAGGATGGAGCTCCTGAGACAGAAAATGTGTTTTCCAGCCACACAGAGTCATCTTACAGCACAATAAAGTCACTGAGTTTACCTTCAGCTTTTAGAAAAACTGAAAGAAGAAATCCTGCAAGATGAAATTTTGCGCCGTCGCCAATAAATCTTGGATTGCTTTCCCTTTCGGGATCATATCTGGATTTTCTCATTAGGTGTCACGACAGCATTTCCTCCTTTATTTCTCCACAACAGCTCAGATAAAACTTGCAGGTCAGCTCTGGTTCTGACCCGGTCCAACGTCTGTTCAGTTCTGCTTCGCAAAATGGAGGATTTCATTTCTGTTATGATGCCAGTAAGCAGCCGTGAGCCGTTTAAACAGGCTTAAAGATTTATGCCACAACGGTTTTATGAAGCGTTAAAAACCTAGACTTTATCCTGACATACAGGAACAAGATCCGGTTGTGTCAGAATCGTTTTCAGAAGTTGGACTTTTCGATTTCCTAACAAACTTGTGGATTTGATAAACGAGTGGGAATTCGGTGAATTAGCAGAGCAACTGTTTCGTCGCGTAAAATGTTGACTGAACCTGCAACACAGTGCAGAAAACACACATCAGCTGACACAGTCAGAATAATCACGTTTATTTTTCCTAATTAAACGAAAATTCCTTCACACAGAAGCCGCTGTGATCTCGTTTCCACTGGCCGAGCGGCAAAAAATCATTCATTATTCATACGTCGTTCATATATTATTCAAAGCAGACGCTGAAGTTGCTCCAATCAATGCAGGATGTGCTTCTGGTAGCGACGTCTGCGCTGCTTGGCAATTAAATCCTGCGGACCAACAGTTTATTTAATCTAAATGTACTTGCTCATAAAAAAATAAAATGGAAAAAAGAAAATGTGCAGGGCATGCATGAATAATAATGTGAAATTTGCACAATGCAGAAGCAGCACATTTCCCCTGTGACAATGCAGGCGGAAGGAAGTTAGTCAAATTCAGGCATGGAGGATTAAAATCTGACTTTATTCCTCTAAATGTGGAAAAGGTCAAAGTTGTAAAAGTATCCAAAAGGCTTTAAAAAGCAATTTTATTTTTCTTTTTCATTTTTCATTTATGATCTTGAATGTGCTCTGTGGAATTTTCTGTGACCTGTGAAGTGGGAGGGGAAACAGTTTTCAAGTTCCCTTTCACAACCAGAGATGTGAAAAGTGTGACATATGCTTACGTGTAAGAATTGCACAATCATAAAACAAATAAAAAAAAGTGTGTGCAATTTCATTTTAGTATGAATTCAGCTTTTTAAAGAAGGTTTAGTTTGATAAAGATCAGCAGCACAAACAGCAACATGAAGAACAAGAAACACGGCGGAGAAGAGAGATCTGCGAGAAGGTTGAGTAGAGATTTACTTTTGGGGTAAGTTTAAAACAAAATACCAGTCTTTGAGCATCAGATCTGCTCAGTTTGAACACTGGTGGGCCGCGGCCTCTGATTGACGCCTCTTACCAATCAAAGGCAGGAGGCGGGCCTTAGCGTTGTCAATCACCCGACTGATTGTGGTACTGGGAGCACCAGGAGAAAGAAGAAGAGCTTAATTCCCCATATCGTTTCTCTTCTAGCTTGCATTCTCGCATCGCTTTGTGTCGGCGTACCGCGTCTCTCTTGCAAAAACACATTTACGTTTGTGGCCACAATATGACGATTTGTTAAACTACGTCAATAACAGAGAGTAAAGAGTTTCTCCAGTGACTCTACGACCAAAAGACTTTCACTAAATCCACTTTATTACATCTTTGCAACTTTTCTTCCAGTTTGAAAGAAGACTCTTGCTCATTCAAACCCAAGATTCCGCAGCTTCATATGAATCTGCAGACGGCAGCCTTTCCGACATTGAACTGGAAATAAAATCAGTGAAAGCGGAACAGATCGGCTTTTAGCAGCGGACGCTGCTATGAAGACTGAAGCTGCCAAAAAGACTGGATGAAGGCAGAAGCCTAATAGACCTCACACAAAATGACTTTTTGTTTCTCTTTCTGCGTTTATGCGTCTACGGATCCAGAAAGAGATCCGTAGACACCAATGACACTGGAGAGGCATATTTACATGCAAAGGTAGCCAAATCTGTGCACATGAAAACAAATGTAGTCAGGTCTGAGGTTCATGTTTGACATTTTGTTGAGACAAAAAGCAAAGATTCCCTTTGTGACATATAATGTTCTAAATATTACATGTCAAAATATTTTTTTGACCTCCATTTTTTGTAACGGAGCTGCTCAAAAATGAAGGGCGCCATATGAAACAATGTCACCTTTATAAAGCAGCTATTGGTCAATAGCTTAATAAATTTTCATGGTAACAGAAATGGAAGTTTACTTATTTCTTTGACGAAATGTGTATGTGTTTCAAGATGTTTTTTGCTGATGGGGAAATAAAAAGGTATGAAAACCTACAAAGGATTTAAAGTGGGTGGGAAGTTACAATTTAGCCGTTACATAAATATATTTAGCTTTTCTGTCTCGCTTCTGCCAGTGAGAAGTCACAAAATATTTCTGCTGCCATCGTGAAACTATTTAGTGATTTTAAGTGACTTTGAGACCTAGAAAGTGGAGGGAAATTCATTCTTGGCGGAGTTAGGACAGACGATTGAGTCGCAGTGGATCGCCAGAGAAGCCAGGTCAAATGTGACATGTTTTAGTGACTGAGTGTTACGAACTGTGAGCAGGAGTTTCTTTACACATTGTGCACAGCTTTCAACGGTACGGTACGAACAGGAGCTCTGCTGTAATCGCCCCCCAAAAAAGCCGAGACGGAATGAAATGGCCACCATTTTAAGAAGGTTAGCTTCTATGTTGTTACATGATTGGAACATCGTTGTGTTTGCAAAAATAATTTTCTATTAAAATGCGTTTTTTTCATTTTCTTGATCTGACTGGGAAAAATTTTTAACTCACAAATGACGGGGTGTTCCTCACACAGTAACAACTACCATACTGAAGAGTGTTGTGTTTTTTTTGTTGTCTGTTTTGGTATAGTACATTCACAGATTGGAAAATGGCATTTTTTTGTTTTTGATTTTTTTTTTTTTTTTGACCAGTGAAAATTAAAATCTACCAATTCACAACCTTTGGATGATTTTTGGATGCATCTCAAATAAAGGTAAATAAAATAAAAACACATTTTTGTAGACCCGTGGAGAGCGTTGTTACGTCAAGACAAGTTCAGGAGTTTTCCCGGATAAGTGTGTCCTTCATCCCATTTATATATCATACATTACAGAACAAAAATCAAGAAAATTTGTGTTTGGTTGATCTTCTTTCCTCTTTGCTTCTTGGTAATGAAAATTATAGCTGTGCAATAATTTGCAGGTTGAGGCAAGGTATTTGGATTCCAGATCAAATTTTGACATCAGCGGCAGTTCTGCACCTCACCTCTTATCAGTCACGCCTCCATCCAGCCACAGTTCTGCAAATTTTAAATAACAAAAATTTGAAAATGCTGACGAAAGAAATTGCGTATTAGCTGCGTTCTCAATTTCTGATTCCAAGCGAATCGACCCGGTTACGCTAAGACCCGCCTCTCGGCTCTGATTGGTTGCTTCTGATTGGAAGCGGTGTTTTTCTGCAAATGGCAGTAAGACCACAGGGATGAAGCAGGCTTGATTCCCCCCCTCTCCCCCACAGATTATACTGTCATGACATAAGGACAGTTTTAACAAAATGTAAGAAACATTTTCTTTCTTCTTCTTATTATTATTATCAATAAAAGTGAAATTTAACAAGTTTTCCGACAGCAAAGAAAAAAAAATCAACCAAACCCAACCTGCTTCTTTTTTTAATTATGTTTTACCCTTATTTTATTTTCAACTAGACAAAAAGTACTTCCAAACACACATCTATATACACAACGTGCTCTTTCTTCTTAAAAATAAATTATTTAAAAAATATCCAATAAAGTCAGTTCTGACTCGTAACCCTTACGTTACCCGTGCTTCTCACCCAATAATCCAAACTCGATTATAGGAAGAGTTTCGACGAACTCTGCATGCAGGTTGACTTGATATGAAACAAGATGAAGGTAGAGTAAGAACAGAGAACCTTTAAACCGGATCTCTTTTCTTTTTATGCCGGGACGTTTCGTAGATGCGAAAAAGTCAAAAACGGGCGACGTTCACAGCATCACAGCTTCTGTCCCCGTCGTCTTTTCTCGCAAATAACCCAGAGTCTCTGATCCGTCTTCCCTTGATTTCCCCCTCCATGGGTTTCCTCTTCTCTTCGCTTCATTCTGTCGGAGACACAGAAGACAGAGCAACAGGATTAGCACACAGGCTTTCAGTTCATTCACAACCTCGGCGCTTCGCAGCTATTATTGGAAACGGCAAGCAGGTTAAAAATAGCGAGGAAGCTGTTGTCGGTTCCCACGGAGACTTGGTGAAGGTTGCCACATCCTAATTCAATTCATCTTATTAAATACACATGCAGAACTCAAGTGGACGACATTTCACCCTCTCAGAAATATTTTGTGGATTCACAACAATGTTTTTAACTTGCTGCTCTGAATCAGAATCTGATGATCTTCTTGCTATTATGTGACAACACAACAACACCCAGCAACAATCACAGCTGATTGGGGGCGGCGAGGTGGGAACTGTCAGGTCCCAAACATGCACCGAAAAAAACAAAAATGCGAAAGCGCACGCGGGGTCAGTGGGTCTGCGGGAGGGTTAAGAAAATATGCAAAGAGATGGATGGATTTTTTTCTTTTTTTAAAACAGTTTATTCTGTCAAAAAAAAAAAACATTTCCGTTTGAAATCCACAGTGAGGGCGTCAAACTCGTTTTCCTTTTGGGCCACACCAAAATCACAAGTGTCCTTAAAGGGCCGGTTCCGACAAACCTGTTGATTACATCCATTGAAATGTTGAAGTATTTACAAAGAGCTGTGCCTGCATTCAATAAGAACTTCTTAATATGAAACAATTTTGAAATTTTTTTTTTTCACACTGATCAGTCAACCCAGGAGTTCATGACTGGTTTTGTGATTTTTTTGGTTTGCAATCAAAAATCACAAATTTTGTGGAGCCAGTTGAAAAACTGGAGGAAAACTGTAAGATATTTATGCTTATTTAATGGTAAAATAACGTTACCTTGATATCAAGTAAGGCTGAGGCACACTGCCTTAACAAGGCTGTTACAGCTGCTGCTGAGCAGTGACCTGATCATCATCCTCCTGATCCTCAGCTGCTGCCATATGAGGACGGACCTCCCCCTGCACGGCGTCAGGTTGTTGTGGAACCCTCAGCGGTAACACCTTCAGGCCTGCTATAGAAACTTGAGCTAACTGCACAGTATCTAACCTGTCTGTCTCTGCCTAGTTGCCTCACCTGTCCCCGATTCCTGACCCTCTCTGCTGGATAAGGACCTCCTGGCTTCGACCCCCTGTCTGTCTGACCCTGAGATCTGATACCCGTTTTGACCTGGACTCTGGACCCGCGGGCTCTGATCCCCTTTCTGGCCCGGAAATCAGGAACCGCCTGACCCCGTTTTGGATTCCCCGGTTCTGACCCTGGCCTGTCCGACTAAGAACAAGTTTATCTCCTAATAAACACCTGTTTTGTACTCTCTTCAGTCCCTGCGTCCATCAGTGCCTGAGCGTGACAAAGGCAGTAGCCTTGATAAGGCAGTGTACCTAGAAGACACACTGCCACCTTCAGGTTGATGTTAGCATCACCTTAAACCCCAATGATTTTGACCAGTGTTGCAAAAAAAACGGCAAGATCTGTCGAGTTTGCATGAATTTCTGCAAAAGTTTAGAGGGAGTGATGGGTGTAACTTAACAGTAAGCAGATAAAACCTACTTTCATATGATTGATAGAATAATCTAGAGGGCCACATAAGGGACCACAGCAGGCCAAGCCTCAAGATTGACACACGAGCCACAGTTTGTATGAAGCATATAAAGCGTAGTTAGTATTTTGTCAGTTCTGCACGTTTAGGTGATGGTGACTATTTGTGCAGCTCTGGGAGACTTTGGGCCACTAATCCATAAAAGATAAGTAGAGAGCAAAGGCAGGTCAGAAATGATTGTGAAATTATTAAATTGAAGATGTCTGAAGGAGATTTTTACTTTTCGTTTTAATACGAGTTGGAGACGTCGTCTTGATGCTGCAAGATTTCAAAGAGCCAGTTTATGCCGACTAAATTAGCCGTGCCGATCCTGAAAGACGTAGAAGAGGAAGAAGAAGGAACACTCTGATGGCGTCTGCTGCAAAACCTGAGTACTTTTTGTTCTCTTCTGCCTCAAAGACGAGAGAGGGGAATTTTAATTCGAAGTTCCAATCTCATTGGTTCAAAGAAACTTGAATTTGCACTGCAGAGCCTGTAAAGACCAGGAAAGAACTAATAACTGAGCTCTGAATTCTTCAGAACCGTAGTTCTGTTCTGGTATTAAACGTCAGAAAAGTCAGAATCTTGATATGCATTTGATTATCTGATGATGATGTTGATTTTCAGAACATTTTTCACAGATAAAAGGAACATAATTTGTCTCCAATGATGATAGACTTTCTGAAGTTTGACTTCTGTTTTCTACCACTTCACTTTTGGAAGTTTTATATTATTTCCAGCCTTTTGAGCTCAACCCACAAAACTTCCTGAAGAACTAAGATCTGGAATTAATGACGTCCACAGAGAGACTGACTTTTGGCAGACAGATATTGTACAGATGCATCAATTTAGTTTAAGAAAACACGAGGCGGTGCATGTCTTCGCTCTGTTGAATTCTCAAAAACTAGCAGCGTCTAAGTTAAATAGAGAATATATACACAGAAACGTTGAGCCACAAACTTCAGATTCCCATCGGAGCAAAACATGGAAGTGGAAAAAAGTCCCTTTACTTTAACATTACAGCCTGAGCTTTGAGCTCGGGGCCATCTTCAGGTTCAAAGCTGCTTTCCTGCGGGGAAAGCAAAGTCAGCTTTGGAATGTTTTAGCAAGCTAGTATTTCCTGACTGTCTTCTGTTCGCCAGACCTTCAGAAACGTTTTCATGTTGTTTTCCTTCTTACTCCAGCACCTCCATCCGTGTTCCTTCAGAAAATAAACTCAGTCAGCGAGACTAACAGCTTTACCAATCATCGTGAATACGCTTCCTCGTCCAATTGAGACGGTCGAATCTTGACCAGTAAATCTCTGCACATTCTCCCCTCAGGGTGGTAAAAGTGTTTGGTTGTACTCCTTCAGTTAAAGCTTGTTGTCTGAGCCTCCGACTCCTCATTTCCCTTCTTCATAGGTGCGTGAAACGATCTACGATAAAAAGAAAACAAGCACTAGGATCTTTTATTAGCGCTTACGCACCAACACTTACCTCACAGCTTGGCAGATCCTCCCTAATAACGCTTTAATAACCCTTAATATTAGCTTCCTTGCTCTGAAATGACATTTTTATCCTTCCCAGCTTTTTATTCGGAGTTTGTTGCTTTTACACCTCCTTGGCTGTTAGAGCAAAACTGATATCAAGAAGGAGTCAAACAGGATTTCATGTGACAGATTGACACAAGGGAAAAGGTTGGTAGCACAATTCCTCTTAAGAGCCAGTTGTTGGTATTAAAAGCAGATTTTACATAAGAATTTATGGGATAACTCCTAAAGTGGCTATTTCTTGTTGCGTTCATTTCCTTTTAGGTTTTGTAATTGCAACAGTGAAAGGGCCAACTCCAGAGCTGCAAAAATCACTGGCCTAGTTAAAGTCGATGCCTGAATTTGCGGCAATACTTGAATATTGACAGATCTTTTTTTTTTTCTATTCAATCTGACTGGATTATCTTTCAGTCTCTGGGCACATACTGTGTTTCAAAAGACTTCCATCTTAAAATAATACGTCATCTTTATGATTTCTATGTCATAAAATCTGCTCGAAACCTCAACCCAACAGATTAATATTTAAGGTTACAAAAAGACAACGTGTGTACATTTGCAAAACACTCCAGATGTGATTATTACTTCACCACCTGCCATCTTCGACCATTTCATTTGGCTGTAATTTCAGAAAATTTATTAACATCGTATAAAACCCCAATTTGGCTTATTGGTCTAGTTAAGTATGAGTCTATAAAAAAAACCCTGTTAATTCTCACAAACAGATGCTGTGTGAAACAGAGTTAAAACTGCTTCCTGCGTCACCAGCGAGGTGAAGCAGCCGTCCGACGCACATGGAAATATTTCAGCTCTGTAAACCAACACTGCTGCAGTCTGCACCAATAGCGAAGGCCACGCCGGCGCTCTGCGGCTTTAATCGCCGTCTGCTTGTTCCAGTGTTTGCGTGGCGTCCTGCTTGCGGGGAACCGACCTGCAAACTGAGCTGCTCCCAAGAGGAGTCCCTCCATTGCACAAGAAACGGCGTCGCATCAAGCCGTTTGACCCCGACCGTCTCCGCCTCAATTGTGCACTGACAATTATTTCCGGAACGTGGAGAATCCCAGGGAGCGTTTTGAGCCAATTGGCCCTTTACTCTCCTCCAATGAACTTGCTAATTGATCCATTTCAGAATAGATAAGTGAAAATAGGCCGAGTTAATGTTAATGTCTCATTATTGTTGAAATTACAGAAAGGCAGTTCTGGATGGCTGTACTCTGTCTCTTAAGTGTGAAATAAATAACTTTATTTTCATCTAAAGTGTTTTTCAAAATGCTGTCAAACACAGCAAAACGGAAAATACAGTACAGAAGCTACTTCAGCAATAAGATAAAGATCTACATTCCCTAGAATGCACTCAAGGAGACTGCTGTTTTTCTAATGCAAAAAATTAAAGACAGTTACCTTTTATATTATCTAACTAATAGTATAAAAATTAGTTAAGTCTGTGTCTGACATTAACCACTTAACTGTTAGCAAACTAAATATTTAAGATAAATATTTAGCTCAGAGCTAAGTATTTAGCCAAGATACAAATTTGCTTTCCAATAGCCGCATAGAGGACTATCAAAATAAAAGCTGGGTTCTTCAAACCTCCAAATAAACGTATCTAAACATTTAGCTCGTTACCGGGGATAACGAGCTAAATGTTGGCAAGTTTGAAACTGCGGCATTGATGAACGCGGCGAAAGTATGAGTTGGATAAACGAAGCCCCGGCTTTATTCTGCTGCGACAGGCTAAACAATGCAAATTGTCAATTGTTGTTCGTTTGTGATCGTAACTTTACATTTGGCCCACAGAGCAATCCTGGGATGAACTGAAAATGAGAAACACCCCGGAGAAGTTGCGTGTCCGGCTGCTCATCCCGACATATC